ATCCCCTTTTCCTCCTTTTTGCTAGCCTCTATACTTTATTCTTTGCTATTCATAAGGTTTTCCCTGGCCAATTCTTTGAGAAGTGGACTGCCTCTTCCTTCTTCCTAGTCTGTCTCAGTCTGTAAGCTAGGCTGATACCTGTGCACCATGTGCATCCCACTGGGTTAGAAACACCAGTGGCTGAGCCTCAAAACTCACATCAATACTTCACCATGGTAGGACAAACCGACAGACAAGTTTGTCTCCCTGTTGTAAACCTCTTGTACCACCCTTACCTGGGTCCCTGCGGCTGACTGCTCCTCTGTCCAGGTTCCTGGGCCTTTTAATCCCCTTTCTCCCACTCTCCTGTCATTCTGATTTGGGCATGCCTGAGTTCTCTCTCCTCACCTGGAGAATGAGGAGACTCACTTGAGGCACTTACTGATGAAAGTTGAAGAATACAGTCTGAGTATGGATTATGTCTCAATATAAAGAAAACAAAAATCCTCACAACTGGACCAATGAGCAGCATCACAATAAATGGAGAGAAGTTTGAGGTTGTCAAAGAATTCACATTGCTTGGTCCTACTATCGATGCCAATGGAAGCAGCAGTCAGGACATTAGACGACAGTAGCATTGGGAAGGTCAACTGCAAGGAACTGTTTCAAGTGCTGAGGAGCCAGGATGTCTCCTTGAGGACTAAGGTGAGCCTGACAGAAGCCATGATATTTCCAATCGCCTGATATGCATGTGAGAGCTGGACAATGAATAAGGAAGACTGAAGAAGAGTTGATGCTTTTGAATGGTGGTGCTGGTGAAGAATGCTGAAAGTACCATGGACTGCTAAAAGAACTAACAGATCTGTCCTGGAGGAAGTGCACTCGAAATGCTCCTTGAAAGGGAGAATGGCCAGACTTCATCTCATCTATTTTGGTCATGTTGTCAGAAGGGACCATTCCCTGGAGAAGGATGTCATGCTTGGTAGGGTGGAGGGTTGACAAAAGAGGGGGAGGCCTTCAACAAGATGGATTGACATGGTGGCTATGATGATGGGCTCAAGTATAGCAGGGATCATGGAGCTGGTGTGGGATCGGGCAGTGTTTCATTCTGCTGTGCATGGGGCGCTATGAGTCAGAAATGACTCGACAGCACCTAACAAAAACAACAACATACTTTATTCTTTCTCAGAACTACCCTTTTTTCTTTCCAGTGTAAATCCTAATAATAACCTCTGGCCTTTTGCAGTTGTCCTTCCCAGTCATTACCCCAAGCTGCCAAATACTTCCCAGAGGGTGATATGTTAAGCCAGAATCCCCAATTTGGGTTGGTTGGTGGGGTGTTAGTGGAGGAAAGGGCAAATGGCAAGACTAGGATCTCTTTGGGGAGGAGAGAGGGCAGCAAGTTCACTTGATATTTTGCCCATGCCTTTATGTCAAATGCCAAATGATTATCAAAGACAAGGGACATCAGAGATCAGGGAAGAGAAGCTTCCCATGGGCTGGAATGTTCAGGATAAGCTTCAAAGGTGGGGTTGAATTGAGTTGGTCTTAGGTTAAGGGAATATGGCTCACTTAGGAAGGGTGCTCCAGGTAGAAAGGGAAGCGTAGGCCATTGTACTGAGTCACAAACATACCTAGTGTGTTCAGGGCAAACAAATTGGCCTGAGGTAGGAGAATCTGGAAGAAAAAATTTGAAAGTTGGGCTGGAGACCTTGATCAGGCCAGAGAGTAGAGAGCCCAATGCCATTTTAGGAGTTTGGATTTACATCCTACAGGCATGGGGATTAATTATGACCCTTGAACAGGGGAGCAATGTGTGCAGAGCAGGCATTGGACAGATGGATCTGGCAGCACCTACTTTGTCGGATCATGTACCTTGGCTGTGAGTGTTGAGGGCCACCCATTTCCCACCAGGCCGGGAAGTAATGAGGATGGCTGCATGATCATGTCTCCATACAGGTGGTTTATTTCCTCCTACTTTCTAAGGAGGGAGTTGGATTGAGAGAGTCAGATGGTCTAATCTCAGCCATAATTGAAATTTCAGTCATGCATGCTTAAAGGCAAACTTGCATGAATCGATAGCATATTGATTTACACTACATTTATTTTCCCTTACACACTGCAGAAAACATAATTATCACTTAATTATAAAATTGCCATTTTACAATAACACATCTGACTGGCTCAGCCTGCAGCAGGAAGTCTGAATGGTGGTCCCAGTCTTTCTATCCTGGCATAGAGGTGACCCAGGCCCTCAATGCAAACCACTCCAGGGAAAGATTTCATTAAAGTTCTGTGCCTCTGGAGCTAATAAGCATGCCTCCACTTTGAAGTGTGGGCTGACAAAGGGGTAGCTGCACCCTCCTGCCTGTGACAGTCTCCTCCTCCACCACAGACCCTAGGACAATTAGCTTTTATAATAAACCATCCCAATGAAGTAGACAACAGAGCCTGAACTGGAATCTGGAGACATGGGGAGATCCTGGCCTTCATCATCACCATCTTCTCTTTGGTCATGTCACTGTCAGAATTCAGGTATCAAAACTATAGAGTGTGAAGGGCCTAGGAGGATTGAATGAACACAAGGAGTTACGAACAGAAATGGCATTAAGAGTATACTTTTCTAGCATTAGGGTTTAAATTTCCATTTATGGTTTTTCAGAACAAAAGTGTATTCACACCAGAAAAACAAATCCATGTATAGTACCAACTGTTGATATTACTAAGCAAGAGAGATACATATAATATACATGTTTATGTAAATGAATCAGCCACAATTAAACTGTAAGACCACTTTGAGCAACACTTTATAAATCATGGTGGGAAAAGAGTTCATGGTAGTTCAATGCCTTCTTTGACCCAGGCACTTAATTCATCATCTTATTTAATCCCCGCAACCCTTTCTACCACCTCAAATGTACCTACTATTGTGAAGATGTCATAGGACTGGATAACATTTCATTCAGTTATGTATAGGGTTGCTGTGAGGCAGAACTGAGTCAACTGCATCTAACAACAACAGCAACCCTTTGCAGGAGGAATTACCCCTGATTCAAAGTGTGGCTTATTGAAGCTTAACATTAAGATACTTGTCCAAGGTGACCAGACAGCTAAAAGTTGATGAAGAATGATAGAATTCCATTTTATTTTTACTATACTATAAAGGTTGACTAGTTCTCACCCAAGAGAAAACCCCTTCTCTAATATCCATGACAGATGGTCATCTATCCCCTCTGGGAGGGTGGAGCCCTCACCACAGGCAGCACATCCTGTTGGAAAGCAATTGCTAAGCCCTTCTCATGTCTCCCTGACTTTTATACCTCCAGTCCTGGAGAGCTAGACCTCATCTTCCACCTGACAACACCCTCCATTAGATCTCCACTCTCAAGGTTCCTCTTTCAGCAAAATACATTGGATTGTTCTGTTTCTCAGGTGGCATGGTTTCTAGACCTCTTATCCACCTGGTCACTCTCTTTAGGGCTCCTCTTTAACGCTATTTTAAACACTTATCACTGAAATAGGCCAGAAGTACCTCAAGGTTTAGGGCACATGCAGGTCTCATCTGGGTCCCACCAGAGGATCTACTCCTTCAGAAAGTCAAGAAACAAACAATGTTCCTAAATGGCTTGTGCTGAGGGATGCTCAACCCAGCCAGTCACTCCCAGTCTTGCAGCAAACAACTACGTTAAGGTTGGAGAGGGGTGGGATAGTGCTATAGCAGTTGTGAAAAGTCATTTATTGAATCAGTGTATTGAGCATCTCCTATTTGAAGCAGTGTGGTAAGTCCTGCAGGTACAGAAATAATTAATAAAAATCATTGTGTGCCCATGATATGCATAGGTATTGTGTTAAACACCAGTGATATTATGGTGAGCAAGACTCATTGACTTTATGCAACTTGATGTCTCATAAGGGGTAGAAACAAATGAGGCAGCCTTTATAACCCAGTTTGATAAGTACTGAAGCAAGTATAGCATGGAGTCTGTAAATACTCAAAGGAGGGGCACAGACTTAGGCAGAGCAGGTGGGTGGTAGGAGGATAGGCAAGGCTTCCCAGAGGAAGTGCTTTTCAGGAGAGGTGAGTAAGGGCTAGGGAGTCATAGGACTGAAAGAAAGAAGAATGTTCCAGGGGGAGCATCATGGTGAAGTCTCAGAGGTGTGAGGACAGGTGTTTTAAGAGATTGGAAGGCATTCATTATTGATACAGTGCAGGATTCAAGGAGAGAGGTGGGTGGGAAATTACCCAGCTAAAGCTGGAGGGTAAGCAGAGGCCAATACCTACAGGGCTTCATAGGTTAAGTTAAGGGGTTTGAACTTCATCCTGATAGTAATAGAGAACCATTGCTATGTTTTAAGCAGGGAAATGACATAGTCAGATTTTCATTTTAGAAGGATCATTTTGATGGCAATTTGTAGAATCGATAGGAAAGTGGGTACGCAAGACTGAGTTCAGGGAGACCAGTTAGAAGTTCAAGAGGAGATAACAGAAATAAGTGCTTGGCTTTGAGGGGTGTTTAAACTCCAAACCAAACTCACTGCCCTCGAGTCGATCCTGACTCAAAGTGACCCCTCCTTGGGTTTGAATTGCCAGGCTTCTGGTTAGCAGTCTGCCTTAGGCACTACGCCACCAGGAAGTGGAATTGTTTGGATATGAGGCATGCGACACAGAGAGATCATTAAGAACAACTCCTAATGTCCTGGCTTGGGCAATAGGAGGAGGAAAAGGATGAGTAGAGTTTGGGAGAGGTTAATTTTGAGATCTCTGTGGGACACTGGGGAGATGTGGAATGGACTTTAACTTATATTCTTGTAGAGCTCAGGACAGACAGTTAGGCCGGGACAGAGGTTTGGAAACCGTCAGCACATAGAGAGTGATTGAATCTGGTCTTAGCTAGAAGGACACTGTCCACTCGCAGCCCAGTAACTAATGGAGGCCTGTGTAAAGGCCCTCTTAGGCCACTAGAGATTGAGATGAGGCACTCTGGGAGATCTCACCTTGTGGTCGGTCTTTTCATGCTCAGGTCTCAGGAATGGCAGGAAACCCATGACCATCGAAAAGTCCAGCTGTATGAGAACAAGGAAGATGGAGAGTTTTGGTATTTACTTCTCTTTATAAGTCATCTTTTAAATTATTATTGTCGAATCTTTCAACCTCTAACCCTTTCCTCAAACTTTTGTGAGGATGGACATTAGCTTTGTACAGACCTGTTTAGAGGGAACCTCTTTTCTCTACCAAAACACAAAAACTGATGGGAAATTATTTTTGTGCTCTCTCTTTATGTGAAATGTATTTCTGTTCTAAAACTTTAGAGTTTCTAGGATATGTTAATGGTAAAAGAGAATATTGGAACCAAAGCTTTGAAACTCACAGTTTTGCAAAAACTGGGATGTATGGTTATCATCAGTCTATCTTCTATACCATCCTGTTGGGAGCCTGGAGTCTCCCCTGGTATGAATCTCCAAAAGGGGAAACACAGCCTTGAGCTCTCAGCCCTAATCTTGGACTTCAGGTGAGATATCTGTGTCAATACCCAGCAGTTAATCATGGCTGTTGTTGTTAGGTGACTTTGAGTTGGTTCCGAGTCATAGTGAACCCTGTGTACAACAGAACAAAATGGTGCCTAGTCATGAGCCATCTTCACAATTGCTGCTATGTTTCAGCCCATTATTGCAGCCACTATATCAATCTATCCTGTCGAGGGTCTTCCTCTTTTTCACTAGCCCTCTACTTTACCAAGCATGATAACCTTCTCCATGGACTAATCCCTCCTGATAACATGTCCAAAGTACATGAGACAAAAATCTCACCATCCTAGCTTCTAAGGAGCATTCTGACTGTACTTCTTCCAAGACAGATTTGTTCTTTCTTCTGGAAGTCCATGGTACATCCAATATTCTTTATCAACACCATAATTCAAAGGCACCAATTCCTCTTCGGTCTTCCTTATTCATTGTCCAGCTTTTGCATGCATATGAGACAATTGAAAATACCATGCATGATGTTTTAAAAACATATTCTTGACTATGTCCTCACATATTAGAGGATAAGGTGGACATTTCTCTGAAGGGTTGTCTGGTTTACTTAGTGGCATATTTAAAAGAAATGGGCAGGTGTTAAAAAGGAGGCTAGGTTCAACTAACTGAGAACCAGAAGAGGGACAAATGTAAATTAAAGGTAAAACTCTCCACTGTTTCCACTTTCAACACCGTAGGAGGTGAATTTGAGGTGTGGAATCCAGTTTATTCTAATAAAGACCTCAGCAATGAACTTGGAAAGAGTCCTAGGGGAGGGCGGTTTTTCAGGCAGCATGTAGGACCCTTAGCTGAAAGAGCCAGGTGGCTGTCCTTCAACTACAGGAGAGCTGGCAATATGATTAGCTGGTTAGGGAGAGATGGCAGTTGATGACTAAGTTCCTGCCAGGTGTTCTGAGACTTGCAGAGCCCAAAATGGTACTCTATCCTTGCCCTTCAGGCCACTGGAGAGGAGCATAAAGGAGCTGAAGGGGGTACCTGATAGTGGGTCCTAGGGTCATGTGAGTGACTTCAGGGAGAATGAGGCTCTCTGGTCTTTGAGTAGGACAACCATGAGCCAATGAGTATTTTCGCATCAGGGTGAAGGTGCAGTGATTTGATATGAAGCCTTCTCGCACTTCCGGGGACAACAGCAGTGGTCATTTAGTGATGTGTGTCTGTTTTCACAGGATTTCTTGTCAAGATTTCCAAGATAATTTCTCCTGCCTGTATATATGTAACCAGATTCCAATCAGCCTGGACCATGGAAACATACTCCATGGAAGATGGTCTGAAATGACATTTAGGAACCAAGAGATTCTAAGACACCCTGCAGGTAGTAGTGACACTGGTAATCATTCTGCCTGCCAGAAGCTGCCAGCCCAAGTCCTGCTCTGGCTTCAGGTCTCACTGGCCCCATGATTCTGGACTGTCAGCCTGAAGCTGAACTGAGAGAAGGTTGATGGCTGAAAGCAGCAGCTACTACTTATCCCAGGAAAAAGACCACGGGTGGGAGGCAGGCGGGAGAGTCTTAAATGTGCACCATCCTGCCCCTTCATGGTCTACAACTCTCTCTGCAAAACTCCACCTGCTTCTTGGGAGTACAGTAGGCTCCCCTCTCTTTATGCAGTATCTAGGAGTGAGGTAGAAAAGTCCAAGGTCTAGGTGAAACCATTATCTTTGCCTTATGCTAGCTCTGTGGCTTTGGGAATAGAGCTAGTCTCTGTCTTTAGCCAACCCAACTATAAACAATGGGATTAGTAATCTCTGTCTGTCTCCTGAGACCACAAAGAACCTCCAGATTCAAGGGAGAATATCTCCTGCAGCAGTGTGCTGAGATTCCAGTGGTGGGCATGCTTCAGAATCTGTCCTTGGATTCCCCTATTATGAACATTGTTCATTGTGTCTTGGGAGAGTCACATACTCTCACTGAACCTCCCACTCACATTTATGACATTGATGAGTGGCACAGCTGCCTGCAAGGATGAATCTGAGTATGTTCATACATCTCTGGAAAAGGAGGCTGCGCGAACAGTGTTTTTGTGTGAGTGTGTACGTGTATGCATTTGCACCCAGACATCTACATTCCCCACTCCTGAGCACCATCTGTCAAGAATGATTGGCTCCCATGAGCCCATTCCTCAAGCGTCACCCTCTCTTAAACATGCAGGCTCTTTAACTCTCCTGGCCAGAAAACCTAGTCACCAGAGGCCATGGTTACACTCTGGGGACCTGCCAAATCGTTCTGGTACAACAAATTTACTGATTCATCTTTCTGAGCTCCATTTGTCTGATTGTGTGGCAAAAGCCCCTTTATAAATGGACTAACCCAAATTATACATTGGGCCATTTGTAGTAATTTCTTATAAGGAATAGAGGAAGGGAAGCAGCAGCCATGAGCTGCTAAGTGCACTTGAATGAATCATCTTATTCAATCCTCCAAAATTCCTGGGGCCATGACCATCCTCTTTGCCTCCCCATTTCCAATTATGACCGGACCTTCTGATCTCCATTAATTCATTTCTATCTTGACTTACCTTCATCATTTCATGTGTTTGAATCTAACAATGTCCACATTCATTCACTAGGCTTCCTCTGGCTCTGATGAGCAGGCTTGGGTAGCAGAGTACTGCCAATTGACATGCATCTGCCTATTTTCTGTCTCCACTGGTGTTTGGGGATTGATGTGCATGTCAAGGCTCTGAGGGTTACTGCCAATGCATAAGCTCATGCAGACATGGGGACTCTGGAATTTTATTATTATCAAATAGCCCTCAACTTTATAGTTTAAAAAACTTTTCACCAAAAGGGGAATACACTCCCCCTTCATGTTTTCAAAAGGAGGAGAGGAGACTGAGCCTCAGAAAATAAAGAAACCTGAACCACAAATAATAATTTTTGGGAACTGGAACACGGGCCTTTTTGTGTCTTCAAATTTAGAGTTTATTCCACAAACCCCCAGGGCTCTTTGAATAGGAAAAGACTCCCACAGGGAGTCAGGGGACAGTGATGAGCTGCGGTGACAGGTCTTTCTCATGCAGAAGGACCTTGGAGGGATCCTCAGTACTTCTTCCTTGTGCAAGAGCCCATGGAAAGCAACAATGTTGTTGTGTCCTTCACCATCATGCCACAAAGTTTGATGTCAACAGACAAGGAAATTCCACTGAACTTCCAAGTGTTCAAGGTAAAGGTAGTCTACGTCTGGGTTTGTTCTTTGGGGACATTTGTCTATACCAAATGGGGCTGGGGAGGGCACACTCTCAGTCATGCAGGGCTTTAACTCCTGAGGCTGTAACTAAAAGCTGTAGGACTTTGAGCCAAGTGGCAGCAATGCAGGGCAGTTGCCCTGTGGTGCTCAGCTGGGTGCCACCCCATCTTCCAAGCCACCTTCTCTAGACTTCCTTCAACTCTCTGAGCATTCTTCCAATAACTGCCTTTCTGCTTATCCAGCCTGAGTTTGATTTCTGTAAGCCAAGAGTCCTCACTGATCCAGGGAGTTTCTAAAAGAAATCTCATCCTCAGAGTTACCCAACTTTCACTCTAAAAAAAAAAAAAAGAAGAAAGAAAAAGAAGAAGCCTAGAGCCAGAGTAAAGGCATTGGGAAGGGCTAAGAAGGAATTGAGGCACCAGATCTGGCTGTCCAGGATAGTACAACCAGACAAGGCTACTAAAAAGTCTCGGCCACCTCTTCACTTTCCCAGTGAGACAGAACCCTGGAGAGGTCTCTGGGCTGCTCCATTGCACTACTCCTGGGGGTACCGTTAACACAGTCACTCTGAGACCCATGTCCTATGGCTGGGCAGCACAGCAGTGTTGTGTTCATTTGCCCCAAAGCCTTTACAGTTCAGGAGCCCTAGCAATATTATACCAAAAAAAACACCTACTTCCTTCAAGTCAATTGTGACTCATAGCAACCCCATTGGGTTTCCAAGGCTGTAAATCTTTACAGAAGTAGATTGCTTCATCTTCCTCCTGTAAAAACGTGGTGGGTTTTGACCCACTGACTGCCTGGTTAGCAGCCAAATTCCTTACCCACTATGCCACTTGCCAAGCCCATTTCTCTACTTTTCAGCTCAGGGATGAATTCTTTCTCAGCTGCTCACTCTTCCAAAGGGGCACCCGGAACCTGCATCTCCTCAGGTATCCTGAAGATCTTGCAGGATCCAGATTGATCCTGCAAGACTGATAAACACCAAAGACAGTCCAGACCTTAACAGCTCAAGAGACATTAGGGGTCTTTTTTACTGTTTCCCTGAAACAGGTGATGTGTGTTCCAGCTCCCAGACCCTTGGAGGTTGCCAGGCTTCTAGTGGTGTTTGATGGGAACAGCCAGCCCAGTGCCCCAGTCCTGGAATGGGCCTCAAGGCTCCCAGTGGCTATAGGAACACTATTCTGCCTTACATGAAACCAAACGCAGGTGTGTGAACAGGCAGGAAAAGATAAGACAGTGACAAATGACAAGGGTGGGCAAACTTTTTCATCCTTGCCCCAAACATTCCCACCTCCCTGCCATCTCACCTCTGGATTCCAGGGAAGTCTCCCTGGGCAAATCACCTGGTAGTTATATACCTGATAGAGCCCATGAGCAGCAGTGGAAAAGAAGACAAAATCCTTATCAACTATGGAAGACAAACCCTGGTGGTAGCAAAAAAAAAAAAAAAAAATTCAAACCCATTGCCACCAAGTCACCAAGCTGATTCTGATTCATGACAACCCCATTGCCTGGTGATAGTGGGGCTTAATTACATAAAAAGCAACACAGGTTGCTCTAGTCCTACTTCCGTTCCTTTAACTGTGGAGTCTCAGCTTCTGCATCCGTAAAACAGGGAGCCTAGAACCAGCTTGCTGGATCATTGTAAGGAACCAACATTACAAGGAAGCACTTTGCAAACTGTAAAATGGCTTAAAAACAAGCCTGCATTCTTAACACTTCTCTGGGAAGCAGAAATTTATGTTTCCCCACTTATACACACCTGCATTCCCTACTAACACCAGGAGTCCTAGGACAAATGCCCATCATATTTTCAAGTGATCTGATGGGGGAAAAAAGAAGCAGTTTACTTCTTATTGGAGTCCTTGATGTTAAGGAATTTACAATTGATACCAGCTCTGTCTTAGCGTCAGCCTTTGTCAATGTCTCACTTTTCCCTTCCACTTGTATCACCACTCCTGTGAACTGTAATGTCACCTTGCTGAACTGACAAAGGTGGAGTCTCCCCTCTCAGACAACTTCCTTTCCTGTATTTTCTTCCCCTTGCTGTCTCCACAGCTGATTAGGTTTCCTTTCTTACAACTCTGTACAGGGAATGAGTCATCTGCCTGCTTACTTCAAGGTGTGCAGGGAGCAGGCTAAATGTATGCAAGAAGGGAGGAAATTGGGACCCTGAGCCAGGCTCAGCTCTGATTTGCTCACCATCTTGTTTGGGTTGGGGTTACTGAGCCTGCCTTTCCTCCTCTTCCCCACAGGTTGACTCCCAGGTACAGTTCACTGTCACCTCAGCTCTCTCCTGGGCTTCTCACAATCTTGTTGCTGTCCGTTGGTAAAGTGTTAGGCGTCTTCCACAATCTGTGGCCTTAACGTGTCTCTTGCTATTTATTGGCTGCAAATTCAGCCTTGCTATGTGCTGCAACAGAGACAAGCTTGGAATCTCTGAAATGTCAACAATGTGGTGAAATACTTTCACTGTCCTGGTCTAAAGGTTGGACATCTTGGGCTGTTCTTTGGTTTGATATTCAAGGCATTGCAACTGCAAAACTACCCTCAAACTTTTTGGGCCCTGATAGAGCTGATGCAGCCAGTGTCTTAGGGTTCTCTTGAGAAACACTATCAGGGATTGAGATAGATAGATAGATCATAGGTAGGTAGGTAGGTAGATAGATAGATAGATAGATAGTTACTTTGAAAACTTGCTCACACAATTGTAGGGACTGCTAAGTCCAAAATAATGTAAGTCAGGTAACAGCAGAGTGGAGACTCCTTTAGGCTTGCATCCCAAGATCTGTTGTTCAGGCAACGAGAAGAGTCCAGAGAGAAGACAGAAAAAGAGTTCTGCCAAAATATCTATTTATAGTCTGGAGGCAGAACACACCCTAAGGAAACTCCCTTTTCAACTGATGGATTGATTATATTACATTATAGAACAACAACTAGACTACTATTTGGCCAACCATGGGCAACCACAGCTTAGCCAAGTTGGCACACAAAATTAACCATCACATGAAAAATTAACCGTTAGGTATTTTTCATTTCAGATGAGAGACAGTAGCAAGGCTGAGGGAGTGCTTGAGGGGACACTTTAGCCTCTTACGTTTTTTGTCAGCCCCAGATCCACCACACACAGGGTATAGGCTATGTAAATGCAGCTTCAAAACACATCCTTTAGTTCCTCTTACCACCAAACTGCCACCCCTCCTACACAGATATTCTGGGACACCACTGGTGTGAGGCAACCTAAAAATATGAGTAAGGATGGAGGACAGATGGAGCTTAGAAAACCTAACCTCAAAGGCACTCAGATCTCTTAAATGGATATGAGATCTGTGGTCCTATTGCTGCCAAGGGGGAGGCGATCTTCCAAGGGGCCGTGGGAGGAAGGGAGGAAGCAGCATGTGGCCATAACAAACAGGTGATGCTTGTGGCAAGCTGGCAGGACCAACGAAACTCGTCCAGGCCTTCCAGGGGTGCTTGGATGGGTAGACAAACCCAGAAAAGGGGACACTCAGAATTCCAGGCAGGAAGCTGACAGCAAAGGAGCCATGGAGTGGGATTTAGGACCTCACTTTGGTCCCTGACACCCCAGCTATGGAGAAGTGGAACGCTTGAGAGGGTTTCAAGGAAAGCACTCAAGCCGGGGACTAGATTAGCATTCTAGTTCCCAAAGCTGAAGAATAGGATAGGGACTCAGTCTTAGGAAAGGCACAAGCCCCATCCCTAGAACCAGCTGGTCAGGTCTGTGTGGAACTAGCCCTAGGTCTATTTGATGCTGTATCCTCTGAGCCCTAGATCAAGACCTCCTCTCACTATCCCTGCCTCCCATATTCACACATCTAGCCACCACTGAGTATCTTTTCTGAAGAATCAGGTAGGTGGACAGGGCTGTGAGGGTCCAGTGGAGAGGGAGGTGGTCAAGAGAGCTAGAAAGAAGAGAAATCCTCATTTTTTACACCTCTTCACACACATTGCCCTCCTCATACACAAATACCTGCACATGCACATCCCAAGCCACAGGACAGTGCTGACCCCATGAAGAAGATCTCATTTCATCATTGTTTTTGCCAGAAGGACTCAAGCAATCCAGGCTCCCAACCCCGGGTGTTCTCATGTCAGCAGAGATGATTCCACTGAGTCCCCTACTGCACACCTGGCCTGATGGCCTATTCCTATCCCACCTTGTAGCCCACTCCTGTGCCCCCTGTCTGAAAAATAACTATCCCCTTCCCCCTGTTTTTCCCCAAGGCAGACCTCATAAATAATCATTTCACACTATGTAACCCTTCTAAATGGAATCTCTATGCTCGATAGTATTGGGGAAAATTTGTTTAGTAAGGGTTTCTTATTACATAATATCTATGTGACATCTGGTAATAAGAACTGCATTATATTTATTGTTTTATCTCTAAGAAAATATTGAAATAAAAGGAAAATGATTAGGGCCTATTATTTTCCAATGAGAAGGAATATCAGGGCTTGGCTGGAAAGATAAAACAGAGGAAGCAAAAGGAGCACAACTCCGTGATGGTCTAGCATCCAAAGAATATTTTGCAAAAACCTCGGGAGAGAATGGGCTCTAGGGGCCCCAAAGGATTCAGTTTTGACAATGTCATTAGTTTTCATGGACATCTTCTTTATATATAAGCAAAGAGATAAAACCCTACAATCAGAAACCCAGGATGCTGTTAGACTCACTAAGATAAAGCCATGTGTCATATTTCTTTGCATTCATTGTAGTCTCTAGAGTCTAAACTAAATTACAGTCTAAAGTCTACCACTTTTTCAGAGTTCAGGGGAAGCACTGTTTCTCTTTCCAGGGGCTGTAATGATGTTTCAGGGGTGGTGCCAATGGTTAATGCTCTGGGCTGCTAACCAAAAGGTTGGTGGCTCTAGTCCACCCAGAGGTTCCTTAGAAGAAAGGAATGGCAGTCTATTTCCAAAAGCTCACAGCCCTTGAAGACCCTGTGGAGCATGGTTCTACTCTGATACACCCGGGGTCACTATGAGTCAGAACTGACTCAATGCCAACTGGGTGATGCTGCTTTGGTAAACAGGAAAGGGTCTGGAATGTGGGGGAGGTGGTCTATCCTAGTTGCTGGGGCCCATGCATGCCAGGCTGCTTTCTCACAGTAGCATGTTTCCTCCAGTTCCAACAGTTCCGGGAGAGATTGCCGCCCACATTTTTTTCCCAATTCAGACATGCTGCCCAGGGCACACATTTAAAAACCAAGTGCAACTTTACACAGTGCTTCCACCTGAGCCCTGGGACCTATGTTGTAGTCCCCTCAACAAGCAGAGAAGAAGCCCAGTTCTTGCTCCGAATCTTCCTGAAATTGCCAGACACTGACAGGTACTGGATGTCTGGGATTCTAAGTGTTTTATTCAATTTCTTTCTTTTTTGTTGTGTTGCATCATTACATACAGAGCACTGTGCTGACCTCAGCAAGGGTCACTGTACGGGCTCTGCTTTGAAGAAGCTCACCATAAAGGGGACATGAAAGACTATGAAGCAATTGTTGTTGTTGTTGTTATTATTTGCCATCAAGTATAATACACCACAAATAGGATGGGGCCACTGCTAGATGGACATGCACAGTCTCATAGTGAAGGGACATGCTTCTGGCCAGAGAGACTGAGGAAATGGAATTTAATCTAGTCCTTGAAGGACAGATGGAATTTAGAACTATAGAAATAGGCAAATGGGAAGGTACTGCATGCAAGTGCAGGGAAAAGTATGTGCAGAAACAAGGAGATGAGTGATCACAGAGCCTGTTGAAGAATAAGTGATGTCAGCAATACATACAGGAAGGTGGTATGTAGTGAGCATGGAAAATTGTCTGAAATCTGGCCAGAACGTGGAATACACCAGGGGGGCAGTGAAAGATGGGCCTGAAAGATAGAGTTCTATCATGGAGGGTCTTGAGTTGGTTGAGGCTGAGATCAACAAGGGCATTGTCTGCTGGAAGCCCTTCCCCTCTTGGGCCAAAGGCAGCCATCTCTATAATCACCACTGTGATTATTTACACAGTAATAAGTGTAAGTGTGGTTTTACACTTGAGCACAGGTGAGACCTTCTCAATACCAAGTGCTAGGCAGCCTCCACTACCAGTTAAAATTAGGACATAAGGTAAAGATTTTTTCCCACTCTGGCAATGGGAGTCACTGCATATGTGTATCTGCTGGTGAAAGAAACAGTTTCACTTCAAACCAAACTAAATGGTTTGAAGACCAGATCATGTCCACCTGAAAGGCTGGGCATATTCCCTGGTGTGTGTCTGTCTGCTGGCTGCCATGACTGCTCACTTTACATCTTGTAATGCTGAGCACTCTCCAGGCAGGTCTTTGGGATAAATGTCCAATGCCACTTTGGGTGTCCTTGACATGCAAGCCGCCTTTGAATGGTGAGCTGATCATCTTTGTCACATTTCCTCAACTTTCCAGGAACCTGGACAACAATTTCAACCTCAGAGGACTAAAGGTATGTGTGTAGTAAGACTTAGTTAGTAAGCTTCATTGACCACATCTCATCTCCAAGAGCTTTCATCTCCTTCCTTCTTGTCTCACCACTGACCATGAAAACAGAGATAGCATGATGTGGGACTAAGTTGGGGGAAAAGGCAAGCCTCCAAGGGCAGGATGGACCCAGCCATCTTCCTCCCATGAATTTCAATTTTCTCATTCCCCTGAAGACTTTATCCAAATGCCAAATGAAACCTCTATCTCAGAACCAGGCATGAGTTCTTATGCCCTTGCTCTACCAGACAAGTGGCCCCTTCCTTAGAAGTTTACTCTTGGCTGTTTTCTCTTTGATCCAGGCCAGTCTTCCAGAAAGTGGCTTCAAACAAAGTATTTTCCAGAGATATGCTCAGCAGGTATAGTACCTAACAAGGAGGGGCCTGGCAAAGGGCAGGTGATGAAGTGACCTGAGGGTGGGAAACCTCTCCCAGGCCCTGATCAGGATTACTAAAAAAAAAAATTAATAAAATAAAAATAACCGGTTCCATCGAGTCAATTCCAACCAATGGCAGCTTGACAGCCCCATGTGTTACAGAGTAGAACTACCCCACAGGGTTTTCTTGGCAGTTATCTTTACAGAGGCAGATTGCCAGGCCTTTCTTCCACAGTGCTGCTATGTGGGTTCAAACCACTAACCTTTTGGTTAGCAGCTGAGTATAAACCATTTGCACCACCCAGGATACAGAGAGGAAAGGTCACTTGCTATATCATTTTATCATCCTCTCTCCCTGGATCATCTCCAGGGTAGATTTGGCTGCCAAACTGCAGAGAAGGGGGCACTCTATTTGGGTGACATCTGGGACAGAATGTAGGGCTTAGAAAAGGAGGAATGATGGTGCAATGTACGCACGTGCTTTTAAAATCTATAAACAAGCTAGGGCAGTAACCCTTACAATTTGTTCTTCGCCTGCTTGGCCACCTCCCCACCAACTTTGGCAGCATTCCTCCAGGGAGCTGGCCAGCTCCAGAAAGCACCAGCAGTGTGCTTCCTGCCAAACCATGTATGTGCACAGGAGATTTTAGTAATGGTTTAATAAACCGTTATGAAGAACTCCTTGACTTGTCAAGATAGAAGATGCTGCCAAGGGCTTGGCATGATGGCCTCTTTACTGTTAATAGTCACATCAGGTGGGAAATAGAAAGTGATACGATGCTCACGTGTACTGTGCCAGCCTCTGGTCAGGAAAGTGCCAAGGACACATAGAAAAAGGGTTGCCTGGCCCAGAGTCTGAGTGTGTCCTTTCTTGCCGTGACCTTGGATTATAATACCATCACCACTACTACTGTTGATGAAAGTAACACATGATATTAGTAGGAGGAGCAGCAAGATGTCATGGTATTTGTTTAAGGCTAGTCAGAGGGCCAATGGAGCAGTGGTAACAATGAGGAAGCCCAAAGAGAAAGGATTAAGGCAGCCTGAGCCCAGGGGAACCAATGATGAGAACTGAAGAATGTGGCTGGAATGAGGGGTATGTGTTGCAAGAAGCAGCTCAGTATGGACCTCCTTGAAATGACTATCAGCTCATCTGATAGGAATTTGGCCTTCCATCTGGGCCAATTCAGGCAGCACTCCACTTGATGCATGACACGGCCTTCCAGAATGATTTACCCCAATCTGTGAGCTCCTGAAGTCAGGGATGACACCATATTCACTCCTTGTCCTCAATGCTTATCACTGTCCTTGGCACAGAGGAGGTGCTCAGTCAATTTTGTTGAAATGAATTGAGACCAATTAACTCCCCCAGAGCAGATGCCCAAGCTAAGATGAGCTGCCCCTAGGTGGTCAGCAGGGCCTGATTAGGATGCCTGTGACCAAGATTTCTTCAAGAGCAGGTTGCAAAATTCTCACACCTGGTCCATGCACCTGCACAACTGAAATAAAAAACCTACTTTGTTATGTGATAAAATGGTACAGATTCCCTAACTGGGACTTTTCAAAACAACAGCCAAGTGCCTTCTCACAGAGGGTGACTGGTAGCCCATACGGGGGCTTTGTAAGAATTTGAATGAGGCACAGATGCAGCTTCATGCCAAGGTGCATGGCTGGTAAAGTGGGACAGAGATTGGATTGTAGCCCTTTCTTACCTGGGCAGCCTTGAACAGGGCCAAGCTGGCATCAATCTGCACTGCCTGCAAACCATCTCAAAGGCTGTGTCCTCAAAAGAAAGTTTAAAGCAAAATATCCACTGGTGTACATGCTGCATCTTCTCTCCTAATTGCCTATATCCGATTGATTAGCCTTAAACTAATACCATGACAAGTTGCTGCTCCTACTACTACTACCATGCATTAGCTTCATCAACAGTAGTAGTGGTGATGGTATTATAATCCAAGGTCTCCTTGTGGGCAAGGAAGGACACACTCAGACTCTGGGACAGGCTAGGTCTGTCCATTCATCCATCCTTCCATCCATTTATTCAACTGGAGAACATTATCAATCACTTAGGGCATTCCAAGTACTGCACTAAGTTTTGGAGATCTTATGTTACGGTGTAAGTGGCAAGCATACTGTATTTTGGGGAATTTGTTAAAGTCATCATCACCTCTATTCCTATCTTCATCTTCTCAAACATTGTTGGTTAGTTACTGAGTGTTAGGTTGAGGTCAGGGTCCACCCTAGGGTGGGGGGGGGGTTATGGAGAAGGAAGAAGACATGCCCATGCCCAAAAGTGGCTTATAATCTAGGTGGGTGATTCCATGTAGGTTAGAGTTCCTCATGAACTTGTAAACTGGTGTTCAAAGTGAGGTATCAGAGCTCTTTTGAAGAGAAAAGTCAGTTGGTGGTATGGCACATGGCACCGACTTCCCTGGCATCAAACAACCAGTAACGGGTGATCCCAAGACTAATTTCATTGGCAGGATTTTTCCCTTAGAGGGCACTGTGAGGGGTTATCCTTGAAGGTGATGGGCTTCCATAAGGACAGGCTATGGGTTGCTTTTGCTTGCAGTTTTAGATGGTGAGGCCAACCCTGGGAATGTGGACAGGGATGGGGTGTCTGTCATCTATTGTTTTCAGAAGACCCCAAGGAGACATCTCTTCCATTTGCTCTGGTGCCACTCTACAAAACCTCCCTCCAGCTCCCCATATAAAAGTTTCTCTAGGGTGATCATGTCACATCATCCCCTCAGCTTTTACCAAAGTGGATGTAAGAAATGACCTCATATAGGATAGTTCTGCTTCTCTGTGAGACCGTCACAGAAGACATTGTTCATTAAGTCATTCAATGCCCCCACTATAAAATCTAATTCAGTTAACTCCTCTAAAAGTTCAGGGCAGGAGAACTTTCTCTCTCCTTCCAACCTCAATTGCTTCCTGTTATTAATCTAAGGAAAACCATAATGCTTCCCTTTTTGTTGCAGTGGCTGGGAAGACTAATGCCATGTAGTAATGCCCTCAATTACAGCAACTTCTCTTAGCCTAGATTTCTACTATTTTTATCTCCCTTCACCATGCAGACACATCTAGAGAGAGAGAGAGAGAGAGAGAGAGAGAGAGAGAGAAAGGTCATATCTTCTCTTAGTCTCCTTCAGGAAGCAGATGGAAAAACACACCTATAGGGCTGAATTGATTCCTTCAACAATCCTTTCCTGAGGGGCTCCCTATGCCAGGTATTGTGGGGATGAGCAGCCCCTGCTCTCATCTCATAATGAATTAGGAGACAAATGCACAACAACCCAAACTTAGTGTCAAATGTCAGGAGTGATTAGTGCTACAGTGTTGAGAGGGAATTATCACTATGGCGTGGAGCAGTGGTAAGGCTTCATGAGGGGGGCAGAGTCCTGTGAGATGGACATGTTGTGGCAATTGAGAGCTTAAAGACCATGATCTTAAGGTCCTGAGTACTGATCTTGTCCTGCATTCTTCCCTTGTTTGGGACAGGGGATAGACATTGATGCCACCCAGCTTCAGAGCCTGCTCAACCAGGAACTCCTGCAAGGTACGATCATCCCCACTGTTGGGCCAGCCTAAGGCCAGCCCCATCATTATTCCAGTCCTTCCTGTTCTCCCCTCCTCAGGACCTCCAGGGGACATGTTCTCCTTGGATGAGTGCCGGAGCATGGTGGCTCTGATGGATGTATCCTTTAAAGTCATCTCCCTAGCCGCTCACCCAGCTCTAAGAACGCATCTGTTCTTTAACCTTCCCAGGGGTCTCATTAGGACATTAGGGAGCCCTCACTCTCAATATGTTCATTTCTTCTTTGGCTCTAAGGGATTACCAAGAGCCTGGGTGTCTTTGGATTCTCAACTAACTCACTAACTCTTCAGAGCAACGACAGCAATGATGACAATGGCTATCACCTAGCAAGCATCTACTCTGCACTGAGAATTGTGCTAGTGCATGTATTTTTTTTCCTTGTAATTCTGGCAACAATCTACAGTGCAATATAACTACATATTATTGCATCATACAGTGGGAAATGTGCAGAGAGGTTAAATAAGCTGAAATCACACAGCTAGTCAGACTCATATTTGAAGTTGGGGGTTTCAGTGTGCTAAGCCTATGGTCTTACCTTACTCTATGTTCTCAGTGGGGACTATTTTTCCTTCCACCCATCCTCTTACCCCTGGAGAAGTTCTCACTGTTTAAATTCCTTATTCAACAAACCCATGATTCAGTAAAGACTAACACCACCAAAATTTGTGGAAAACTTTTTACTCTACACGGCAATTTCAGCCCATATTATTATTATTATGCTGCACTTGCAGATGAGGAGTGTGGGGTTGGGCAGTTCCGTAACTTGCTAATGTTTCATGGTTATAACTGGCTGGGCCCAGAATCGACTCTGGCTCAGGACTCTGTCCTGGGCTCATCCCCTTCTTGAGTGGGTCTTTCTGCCCCTGTCCACCCTGGTTCCTACAGACAGAGTGGGGCTGGCTCACGTGTGTATAAGCCCCACTCCTGCCCTGCCAGCTAACTTGAGAGTGAGATAGATCACCCGGCACCTTCACTGCTAATAAGACTCGATTGGAAAAGTGATGCTGGCAATTGTACAACAAGAGGGCTTCTTGATGAAATAATAAATCAGCCCTGTCTCTGCTGGCTGTGGTTTGAAGCACTCAAAGACACTGTCCATTCTTTTGGATGAATCAAAATGTCCCGAGGCAGTCCCTCAGCCTGGGGCAGCTAGCCCTAGAAGATGTCGTGTTTACCAGACCCCTTGCAAGGCAGACAAGTCTGTTCTATCTTCCTCCTACTCACCCACCAGCACCACTTCCAGTTCCTCAGAAGTTGATTATTTTCCTCTCGTTGTTGTCATTGAACCCATTCTATGGAGGAACCAAGGCTACCTTTGATGGAAATGTTCCACCCACACATGCACATAGAGCACACACTCAACAAGCACCTATATCTGTGGCTTCAGGAACTACCATGAGCCCCTCCTGCCCCTGCCCACTCTCCCCCACCGGGGACCTCACTCTACCCATCTATGGCTGTGTATTGGGCCTGCTCACCTCCCCCAAGTGCAAGAGATATCTGCCTCTTTTTCTCAGGGCTTCCTTCTCTTTCCAATTGTCCATTTTTCTTTGTAAAATAAATTTAAGCCAAGTCCCTTCCAGAGGCAGCTATGAGCCAACTGCCATGGGACCATATCTAGGTGGGTTAAACCAGATGTGTTACTTGTTGATGGACAGAACAGCTCCCCCTGGCAGGACTAGCCGGCCAGCTCAGTGCATGATGCACTGGTTAACTCTTAACCCTCCATCCAGCTAGAAGTGAATGGACGACTCAATCCACAGGAATTTAAAAGGCTGTGGAGGCGCCTTATGAACTGCCAGGTATGTGACATTATCTCTTTCGGCTAACTCTTATTCAGGTGAGGTTAGCAAATACTTGCAGAACAAAACCATTTCTGATTGAGTTGACTCTAACTCATGGTAATGCCAAGTGTGTCAGAGTAAGGTTTTTACAGGCTGAGTTTTAGGAAGTAGATTGCCAGGTCTTTTTCCCAAGGCACCTCTGGGTGGATTCAACCCTCCAGCCTTTTGGTTAGTAGCTGAATGTGTTAGCCATTTGCATCATTTATTGTGTCCCCAATTCTTCCCTAGGGTTGAGGGGAATGAAAGAAGAAGTCACCTCCTGCCCGCCCTCAAGGAGAGCCCACATTTTGTTTGGACAGACATATATGCAACACAAGGAGGCACAAGACAATACCCAATTAAGTAGCAGGATAGGAGTGCTTCAAGAATTTGGATGAGAAGCGGTCACTGTAGACTACTGCTGAAAGCACCAGCTAGCATTTCTCTCCTCGTTTCTCTAGCCCATCACTTCCCCTTCCAATCTGTCTGCCAGAAGTTTCTGTCAAGCACACAGATAAGATCTGTGGCTTCAGTGACTCCCCATTGATCTCAGGATAGTCCAAACTCCTCAGAGTTACACCGAAGCTCCTCCAAGCTTGGGTTTAAGAGAAGCCCTTTCACTCATCCCACTCACTCCTTCACATGCCAACTACAAGACCCCTCACTGTTCCTTGTAAACACCATGCCCTTGCTCCTTCTGGCCTGCTTTCACCTCTCCTTTCCTCCATTCCAAGGCTGGCCAGTGGCCATCCATTCTGATAGCAAGCCTCAAACACACCTCCTCTGCTAAGCTCTCCCCATCCCAAGGAGCCAGTCTGTTCTTTCTCTCTGGTTCTTTACATTTGAACTCACATCTCTTAGGGCAATGTTACTTTTTTTTTTTTTTTTTCTTGTCTTTTGTAAAACTGGGTTTCATATCCAGATTCTTTAATATCTTGATAAATCAAGATTTTTTTTTTTTTTTTTTTTTTCTTATTTTTTGTGGTTATACATGCCATCCCACCACTTATCTGTCAGTTTGTGGTATATGGTGGCTTGCATGTTGCTGCAAGGCTGGAGGCTATGCCACTGGTTTTTCAAATACCGGCAAGGTCACCCATGGTAGACAGGTTTTAGAGGAGCTTCCAGACTAACACAGACTCAGAAGAAGGAAGGGAAGGGGCCGTCCACTTCTCAAAGAGTTGTCCAGTGAAAACCTTATGAATAGCACTGAAACACTGCCTGGTATATTACTGGAAAACTTTATGAATATCCCTGAAACACTGTCCAACATAGTGCAGGAAGATGAGCCCCTCACGTCAGAAGGCACTCAAAATACTACTGCAAAAGAGCTGCCTCCTCAGAGTAGAGCCAACGTTAATGATGTGGATAGAGTAAAGCTTTTGGGACCTCCATTTCCTGATATGGCAAGACTCAAAATAAGAAGAAACAGCTGCAAACATCCATTAATAATCAGAACATGGAATAATCATACATATGAAGTATGAGTCTAGGGAGGTTGGAAGTTGTCAAAAATGAAATGGAATGCATAAAGATCGATATCCTAGGCATTAGTGAGCTAAAAGGGACTGGTTTTGGCCATTTTGAATCAGACAACCATATGATCTACTATGCTGGGAATGACAAATTGAAGAGGAATGGCATGGTATTTGGAGCTCTGGTGATATAGTGGATAAGGCACTTGACTCCTAACTGGAAGGTCAGTGGTTCAAACCCACCAGCTGCTCCATGGAAGGAAGATGGGGCTATCTACTTCCATAAAGAGCTACAGCCTCGGAAACCCAGTGGGGATCACTATGAGTGGGAAATGACTTGATGACAATGAGTGTTGGAGGTTTTGGTTTAGGCATGGCATTCATCATCACAAAGAATGTTTCAAGATCTATTCAGAAGTACAGTGTTGTCAGTGATAGGATAATGTCCACACACCTACAAGGAAAACCAGTTAATACTAATATTATTCAAATTTATGCACCAATCACCAAAGCCAAAGATGAGGAAATTGAAGATTTTTACCAACTTCTGCAGCCTGGTATTGACCAAATACAGGATTCTGCAATCCTGGTATTGAATTGATGCAATCAAGATGTGTTGATTATCACTGGTGATTGAAGAACAAAAGTTGGAAACAAAGAAGAATCACTGGCAGGTGGAAAATATAGCCTTGGTGATAGAAATAATGCTGGAAATCACATGATAGAATTTTGCAAGACCAATGACTTACTCATTGAAAATACCTTTTTTCAAAAACACAAATAGGAGCTATACATGTGGACTTTGCCAGATAGAGTACACAGGAATCAGATTGACTACATCTGTGCAAAGAGGTGATGAAGAAGCTCAATATCTTCAGCCAGAACAAGGCAAGGAGCTGACTGTGGCACAGATCATCAACTGTTCATATGTAAGTTCAAATTGAAGCTGAAAATGATTAAAACAAGTCCACAAGAGCCTAAATATGACCTTGATTGTATCCTTCCTGGATTTAGAGACCATCTAAAAAACAGATTTGATGCACTGAGCACCAGTGACTGAAAACCACACAAATTGTGGGATGACATCAAGAACATCATCCATGAAGAAAGCAAAAACCGAAAAAAAAAAAAAAAAAAAAAACCTCACTGCCATCAAGTCAATTCCAATTCATAGTGACCTCCATTGGGTCTCTGAGGAGGTAAATCTTTATGGAAGTAGATTGCCCCGTCCACGGACTGGCTGGTGTGTTTGAATCACCAGCCTCTGGTTAGCAGTCAAATGCTTAGGCACTATGCCACCAGTTCACTAATAAGACAGGAAAAGAACAAAAGACCAAAATAGATGTCAGAAGAGACTCTGAAAGTTGCCCTTGAATGGAGAGTAGCTAAAGCAAATGGGAGAAATGACAAGATAAAAGAGCTGAACAAAAGATTTCAAAGAGCAGCTCAAGGATACAAAGTCAATTATTATAATGAAATGTGCAAAGACCTGGAGTTAGAAACCCAAAAGGGAAGAACATGTTAGGCATTTCCCAAGCTGAAAAAAACTGAGGAAAAAAAATCAAGCCTTGAGTTGCAATATTGAAAGATTCTATGGGCAAAATATTGAATGGTACAGGAAACATCAAAAGAAGATGGAAGGAATACAGAAAGTCATTGTACCAAAAATAATTGGTCGATGTTCATCCATTTCAGGAGGTGGCATATGATCAAGAACCTATGGTATTGAAGGAAAAAGTCAAAGCTGCACTGAAGGAATTGGCAAAGAACAAGACTCCAGGAATTGATGGGATACCCATTTACGTGTTTCATCAAATGGATGTCATGCTGGAGCAATTCACTTGGCTATGCCAAGAGATTTGGCCTGGCCAACTGACTGGAAGAGATCCATATTTGTACCCATTCCAAAGAAAGGTGATCCCACAGAAAATGGAAATTAACAAACAATATCATTAATATCACACACAAGTAAAATCTTACTGAAGATAATTTAAAAATGGTTGCAGGAGTATGTTGACAGAGAACTTCCAGAAATGCAAGCTGGATTCAGAAGAGGACATGGCATATCATTGCTGATGTCAGATGGATCTTAGCTGAAAGCAAAGAATACCAGAAAGATGTTTACTTGTGTTTTATTGAGTATGCAAAAGCATTTGACTGTGTGGATCATAACAAATTACAGATATCATTGAGAAGAACAGGAATTCCAGACCACTTAACTATGCTCATGAGGAACCTACACATAGACCAGGAGACTGCCATTCAAACAGAACAAGGGGATACTGCATGGCATAAAATCAGGAAGGGAGTGCGGGAGTGTTGTATCTTTGCACCATACTTATTCCATCTGTATGCTGAGCAAATAGTCTGAGAAGCTGGACTATATGAAGAAGAGTGTGGCATCAGGATTGAAGGAAAACTCATTAACAACCTACAATATGCAGAGGACACAACTTTGCTTGCTGAAAGTGAGGATGACTTGAAGCAACTACTGGTGAAGATTAAAGACTACATACAGTCTGCAGTATGGATTACATCTCAACGTAAAGAAAATGAATATCCTCACAACTGGACCAATAAGCAGCATCATAATAAATGGAGAAAAGTTTGAAGTTGTCAAAGATTTTATATTACTTGGTTCCACAATCAACACCAATGGAAGCAGCAGACAAGAAATCAGATGACAGAAGGAAAACAAAGTAGGAGGTCTCACAGTCCTGGATCTCAAAACCTACTATACATCCATAGTAGTTAAAATAGTGTGGTATTGTTACAATGATAGACAGATAGCCCAATGGAATAGAACTGAAAACTCAGAAATAGATCCATCCATCTATGGAAAGGTGATTTTTGACAAAGGACCAAATCCCATTATATGGGAGAGAGACAGCCTCTTTAACAAATTGTGCTGGCAAAATCGGATATCCACTTGCAGAAAAATGAAACAAGACCCATACCTTACCCATACACAAAAACAACCTCAAGTTGGATCAAAGACTTAAATATAAAACCCAAAGCTATAAAGCTCATCAAAGATAAAATAGGGGCAAATCTAGGGGACCTAATTTATGACATAAATAGATTATCAAGCATAGATCAGAATGTACAGGCAGCAGAAGAGAAGCTAGATGAATGAGACCTTTTAAAAATTAAATTCTTGTGTGCATTGAAATACTTCTCCAAAAAAGTGAAAAGAGAACCTACAGATTGGGGAAAAATATTTGGCTGTGACATATCTGACAAAAGACTTATTCCAAAAGTTATAGAAAACTTCAACACCTCAACACCAAAACAATCTAATTCAAAAATGGGCAAGGAATATGAACAGACACTTCACTAAAGATGATATACTGGTGGCCAACAAACACATGAGGAAATGCTCATGATCATTAGCCATTAAAATATCCAACTCAAAACAACATGAGATAACATCTCACCCCAGCAATAATAGCAAAGTTCAACAAGACAGAAAATAACAAATGCTGGTGAGGTTGTGGAGAGATGGGAACTCTCATATACTGCTGGTAGGACTTCAAAATGGTACAACCATTGTGGAAAATGGTATTGTGTTTCCTTAAAAAACTGAAAATAGAAATACAATTTGATCCATCAGTTCCATTACTAGCAATATATCCTAAAGAGATGGGAGACAGGACATGAATAGACATATGCACAACCATGTTCATCACAGCACAATTCACTATAGCAAAGAGATGGAAACAACCTAAACGCCCATCAACAGATGAATGGATAACCAAACTATGGTACATTCACATGTTGGAATACAATGCTATATTAAAGAATAATGAAGAATACATGAATCATTTCACAATATGGATCAATTTGGAAGACATTGTACTGAGTGAAATAAGTCAATCAGAAGGACAAATATTGTATGAGCCCATAATTGTAAAAAGTCAAGGAAAGGTTTAAGGACAAACAATGCAACGTATGAGTCCAGTATAGTAAAAGTCAAGGAGAGTTTTACCCAGGGAAGGAAATTCACTTTGTTGGTTACCAGGAAGGAGAAGGAAGGGGAGGGAAAATTTTGGACTAGTTCAGTGTCACATTTTTATTTGGATGAGGAGAGGAGTGGTAGGGAGAGTCTGTGATCAGCATGATGACATTGGAGAAAAGAAGACACTGAAACATGCACATAAGATATAGACAACAGAAGCAAATAATAGTATATGCACAATACTGCATTAACACTAACATCAAACACCAGGCTACAGATAAATGCATAGACAAGTGAGAAGGTCAGGTGGGGGTCAGCAAACAGGAATATACGCGACCAAAGATAGATTTAGCTGAAGATAATCTTACATATGCACTGTGGTACAAAATTAGCCGCACACATTACAGGAGCAACAGAAGACAGAGTTGGAGTAATCTCTCAGAGATAATCAAACACCTTGAGAGAGAGAATCACCAGGCCTGCCAACTGAGGACCACAGTCTCTGGGGACACCAAGCTCAACTGACACAACAAAGTATATAAAAATCTTGTTTCATAGCCTACTTTGGTGAGTTGACTCAGGTCTTAAAATCTTTCGAGCAGCCATCTAAGATGAAACTATTGGTCTCCTCTCATTTGAAGCAAAGAAGAGTCAAGAAAATCAAAGGGCATCTGGAAACAATTGGTCCAAGGAGATGATGGGCCATGAGACTAGAAGAACTAGATGGTGCCTGGCTACCAACACCAACCACTCAGAAAGGGATCAAAACTGGAGATCCTGGATAGAGTGGAAGGCAAAATATGGAACAAAATTCAAAACCACAAAAATGACCAGAATTACTGGTCAAATAGAGTCTGGTGGAACCCCCACGACTATGGCCCCAGATTATCCTTCAGGCCTAGAAATGGACTCACTCCCAGGAATTGCCTCTCAGCCCAACAGTAGAAAGACCTACCTGCAAAACACTACCCCACGTCAATGCACCCACCTACTCCAGGGAGATGCACCCCTTAGAGCAACTGGCCATGGGGCAGCATTCACATAGAGGGAAAGCTAGATAAACAGGAGTGCATAGTTAGAAGGGCACAGGGAGTGGGTAGTCACAGAGACAGGAGAAGAGGAGAGTTATAGTTGGAGATGATGATGGGGGCATGAAATCAAATGTACACGAACTGTGGAATGTAAAACAAATTTTGCTCTTTGAATTTGTACCCAAAGTACAGTAATATTTATAATAAAATAACAACCATATGCACGTGGCCCAATTTACCTACAAATTCTTAAAGACACAGTTAGAAACTGATCTCTGCAATATAGGGACTGCCTGTAGTGGGAAAAGTGTCTCTGATTTTTGAAAAATCAGCTATTTAAAAAGTTTCAAGAGAACTCTGGATTAAATCTCTACTGTTGAAATCTCCATAGCATTTTGTGCTGTTTTTGTCAGGACTTGACCATGAACTTGCAGCTAACAGCCATATTAGACCAGAATCAACTAGACTGGAAACCAAGATAACCAATCTTGCTCAAAGTACATGTCCCATAGTTCGAATTGGCTAAAACTATGGACCCCAAAGAAACTGCCAAATCAAAGAAACTAATTATGCTCCAGTTATAACAACTGCAGTCCCCCAATTGTAACAAAGTTTATAGAGAAAAAAAAAAAAAAGACATCAGATGACATATTGCATGGGGCAAAATCTGCTGCAAAAGACCTGTTTAAAGTACTGAAGAGCAAAGATACCTCTTTGAAGACTAAGCAGCGCCTGACACAAGGATGGTATTTTTCAATTGCCTCATATGCATGTGAGAGCTGGACAATGAATAAGGAAGACAGAAGAAGAGTTGATGCTTTTGAGTTGTGGTGTTGGCAAAGAATAGTGAAGGTAGTCCATACTAGAAGAACTAGCATATCGTCCTGGAAGAAGTGCAGCCAGAATGTTTCTTGGAAGCAGGAATGTCCAGACTTCATCTCACCTACTTTGGTCATGTTGTCAGGAGAGACCATTCCCTGAAGAAGGATATCATGCTTGGTCAACGAAATGGAGGGTCCATGAAAAAGGGAAAGGGCCTCAATGAGATGGATTGACACAGTGGCTGCAATGAGGGCTGGGCTAAAGTGGAGCAAGAAATGCGAGGCTGGCATAGGTCCAGACAGTGTTTTATTCTGTTGTTCATAGGGTTGCTATGAGTCGGAGGTGACTCGATGGCACTTAAAAACAACAACAACATACCTACCATCTGCTTGTTATAAATGAACCAGGCAATGTTTTGTTCTGTTGTACATAGAGTTACTATAAGTTGGAACCAATTCGACGGCACTTAACAACAGCTCATTATTATAAAAACAGTACCTGTTCATAGTGGGAAAATAGAAAATAGAAACAGGCAATAAGAAGTTTAAAAAAGAAAACATGATTTTGCCAACTAAAGGAAAATACTATTAACACCTAGTGAATATTCTTCAGAATTTGTCTTGTAATATGTGCATATGTACACACATGTACACCCACATACATACATACATAATTTTATAAAAGCATGACTTGCTTTAAAAAAAATAATAACTTATCAATATGTCAAATGTCTAACCATGTCTATAACTATTTCTACATCATTTTTTAAAGACTGACTAAATGCCAGGATGTATTATTTAGTCCCTGACTTGGGTCATGGAGTTCCACCTTCCATTAGATTGTGGGGTCCTCCAGGAGAGGGGCTCCATTGTATTCACCTTCTTCCCTCGATGCCTTCCATAGTGCCTAACTCATAAATGCTTAGTAAAAGGACAAACAAATGACTTACAGAAGAATGAGTGAACACTACTTTGAGAACACTGTAGATCTTTTTTGATACACACCAAGGGCCCAATCAGACAGGAAAAGTCCTCAAACTGCTATTTCACAATAATTGGCTTCCAAAGTCAGCCTTGGTCACACTCCTACTTGTGAGGTATTTTGCTTTGGGTCAGCTCCGATGAGGTAGCTATTTGTAGATCAAATTTAGGGGTCCTGAGTTTGGTCCAAGTCCCTGAGTGGTACAAACGAACCAAAAGGTTGGAGTTTTGAGTCTACCCAGAGGTGCCTTGGAAGAAAGACCTGGTGATCTGCTTCTGAAAAATCAGCCACTGAAACCCTATGGAGAATTGTCTACTCTGAAACATGGGGTCACCATGAGTTGGAATCACTTTGATGGTAACTGGTTTTACTGGGAACTCAGTCCAGCCTTTGGCACTTACATGTATAACCCAAGGTTTGTTATTCACCTGCCATTGCACTGGTTTCCTCATCTGTGAAGCAGGAAAACAATGATCAGGATTATAGTGAGAATTAGGTAGAGGTACAAGAGCTGCGTTGTACAAGAGTGAGGTGTTACTGTCAGTACATTTGACATCTGAGTTTAAATCCATGATGCAATTCTGTGCAAAGCACTCTCCTACAGACTTTATAAACTGTTATTCATTTATTCCTCAAGATAGACCTCTGAGGTAGATACTGTAATTAGTCTGTAATAATCAAACAGAATTTAAACCTAAGCAGTTTCATTGTAGTCTGTGTTCTTAATTGCTACTATATACAAATTATCTTATTGAGAGCTCTGTATCGCTTTTTAAAGCAGCAAGGTGTCCTATGGGTCAGACATAGGTACCCATGTAGGGGGTAGAGAAGAGGAGAAGAGAACAGGCTGGGGAGGCTGAGGAAAGGAGGCGGGCCTGGGAAGAGGAATCCACAGCCCCACAGGCTGGCAGCCAGGATGGTTAACTCCAACAGGTGTAACCACATCCGCCGTCCCTGCTCCTCAGCTCTGCTGCCCTGATTATACGGGGTCTGGGTGCTACCCATATTTTAATGAAGTTACCTTCAGGGATGGAAAAAGGCCTTCTAGGACCTCCCTGGCTTCAGGTGGGCTACAGGACTCACACAGTCTTCTTGCTTCTTTCCCCACAATAGCATGTTTTCCAGAACACTCAGAATGGTTCCGGGGTTCTCCTGAGCTCTGATCTGTGGAAGGCCATAGAAAATGCAGGTAAAGGGAGGATCCTTTGAGCTGAGATAATTGGGGGGCCATGGAGTGTGTGTGTGTGTGTGTGTGTGTGTGTGTGGTGTCTGTCTGTCTGTGTGTCAGTGTGAGTGCCTCCCCCATGCCCCTAGCATGCTATAGGCAAAGCTTTTGTTGCAATGCTGGGTAGTCAGGAGAGAGAAGTGCAGGAGCGTCCATGCCTGTGTCCTCCCCTGGGTTACACTGACCTCTGTGGGTCTTTAGGGCTTGGACTTAGAAACTATCCTCCCCCGCCTGAGTTCTTGTGCAACGGTCAATTTTCCTAATTGCCTTTTCTCCCTGGCACAGCTCTAATTGTGAGAAAATAGCCCCACATGATTGTTAACCTACCAGAAATTGTACTCGCCTTAGAGACACTTCCATCTCAGCATCTGGGCCATCAGGGTTAAATACCCACTAGCAGACTGATGCTCTCTCTTTATAGAGGATTTGGGGGCTAAATTAAATCAAATGGCATCTGTCTGCTTCAAGTAGGAAAAAGCTTTCAGTCCTGGGATAATGATAATAATACCTTAAGGTGCATAAGGGCTTCATAGTTCACCAAGAGCTTCTACTTATATCAGCTCATCTGATTGTCTCAACTACCCTGCAGCCTGGGAAGGGCAGGAATCATTATCACCATTGTACCAATGAGGAAAATGGATCACAAAAAGGTTAAATAAGGAAATTGCCACATTCCTTAATAAAACTTAAAATCATGCTCTCTCAGATTAATGCTGGCAGAAATCTCCATAATTCTCCCTCCACAGCTCCAGGCCATAGCTCCAGGTCTGAAAACAAGATAGAAACCCCTAACTGCTGCCCTCCCTTTAGCATAGACTCTCCCCTTCACTGTCAGAGCATAGAGTTGTGGTTCTCAAACTTGAATATGTATCAGAATCTCCTAGAGGACTTTTAAAAACATATATTGTTGGGCCCCATCCCCAGAATTTCTGATTCAGTAGGTCTAGGGAGCTCTGGTAGCACTGTGGTTATACCATTGGGCTGCTAACCAAAAGGCTGGTGGTTTGAACCCACCAGCTGCTTAATGGGAGGAAAAATGAGCAGTCTGCTTCTGTAGAGATTCACAGCTGTGGAAACCCTATGGTTTCTGTGCAGCTCCGCTCTGTCCTATAGGGTCACTATAAGTAGGAATCAACTCAATGGCAGTGGGTTAGGTTAGGGTGGGGCTCAAGAACTCACATTTTTAACAAACTTCCAGGTGATGCTGATGCCCATGGCCCAGAGACCACACTTTGAGAACCACTGCATTGCCAGTTAAAAATGAAACATTGAGGGAGATGTCATAATGACTCCAGAATAATGAAAGAAAAATAGAGAATAGTTGGCATTCAATCCAAAAGCCTTCAGGGATGGCCAGATAACTTAAATGGCTGATAGAGTTAACAGTAAGAAAATAGAATGCATTGGGAATGTGATAGGCTGGAGCATGCATGTCCTGCCTAAGGGCGTTCAAATTCCTGTTTTCTTAATTCTTCTGGAAAAATCAAATGGTTTCATGTCACGTGGGACCCTCAGGCCACCAGGCTTGTTCCTTTGATGGATGGTTTGGCTTGCAAGGTTCCATTTGCTCACCAGAGCTTGCAGGCTTGATCCTTGTAATAGCCCCTATGTGGTTGGTGCCTCCTGAGAGCACATAAGGAGATGTAAGATAACAAGGCCCAAACAAAGCAAGATATCTGTCATCTATTCACCTAAGGCGACCTTCTGAGTTCTGGTCTTTTCTCTGAAGACCAGCCTCTTCCCTGATGGCCAACTTTAGGACTGAGTCTGCTCTTCCAGAGACCTCTTCTATTCACACTCGCAACATCCACATATAAACCCATACGCTGTCAAGGGGGGTACAGAGCAAGATTGTTTTACAAGGGCACCAGCAGAGAGAAGTCTGACAGAGACAGGGCTGAGAGGAAACTCTAGGTGTCTGGCAGCTCCCATCCCACACAGGAACTATCAGAGGGTTGTGGATGCTGAAGTGGCCCCCAGAAGAACAGTCGATGTCTTGAATGTCCTGAGTTCTCTGGGGCTAAACATGAGAACAGTGTTACCAAATGTTGGTGAACTGGCTGCCAAGGTAGGCTGAATAGGAAATGGTGGTAAGAAGGCCACCAGGTCCTCTAAACAGATTTCTCAAGCCTTGTGAGGCAGAGGACCATGCCCCACCCTGCCTCCTCCCACTCACTAGCTTGCCCTGTGGCCCCAGACTTCCTTGCAGGGATCTCTGTCAGCAGAGAGCTGCTGGATCTCATGACCCTCAGGTATAGCGACAGCGCCGGTAGGATCAGCTTCCCAAGCCTGGTCTGCTTCCTGATGCGACTTGAAGCCATGGCAAGTAAGTGTTGCCTGGGGAGGGAAGTGCTGACATCCTGGAAACTTTCACAATGACTGAAGGACACAGAGAGGGCCAGGCACAGTGATGCCCCAAGCCTGGGCAAGGCCTTAAGTAGTAGGAGGGCTTGGATTTCTGTGTGAGGAAGCTTTGTTCTTAGGGAAGGACAATGCCAACTTTAGCTATATAATAAAGCAGTCAGCTCATAACCCCAGCCACCCCTCTGTACCTTTTCTCCCCAGAACCTTCTCCTACCTCAGGTTCCTCATTTCCTCATCACCCTATCTAGCCCCTTTCTCAGAAAAAGGATTACTTTAATCACTGTGTCTCCTCTGCCAGTTGTGTTTATAGTTTAAACCTATTCTGTAATCATGCAATGGAAGATTTTGGTCTCTGCTGAAGGAATTTTACAGACAAGTGAATAGATGGGGCCAGGAGGTCTTTCCCATGGCTCTAGAAATCCAACTATGTAGGCCAGAGGTTTTGACACTTTTTAGCAGCATAACACTTTGCCTCAAATTAAATTTTATTGTGAAAACCCAGACTATGATATGGCTCAAAATGGAGCTACTGGGCTAAGGTAGAGCTGCACACACCCCCCCCCCCCCCCCCCC